CATCTCAGTGCAAATGATCTCAGAATTCATTTCATTGCATCTACTGCTCATCTGGGACCTGCACAAGTCACCAAAGAAAGAAAGGTGCAGTAACTTTTTGCACCTCTTCACAACAGCTTGCTATTCAGATAGTGCTCATCTCTGACCAGTTGCTAAATTTGCCATGTATCAGTCTGTGTGCTCAGCAGGAATGCTCAAGGTTGTTGTGCCAAGTGCTCATGGTGGTTGGCTTTTGATTGTCTTACAGTCAGTCTGAGCTGCTTTAAGGTTCCAACAGCTTGTCACTAGATTTTCTTTGTTCGCAAAATTTTGTGCTGACTTTAGTCAGTATAAAACTGATAATATTCTAATTGGTGGGCGGACTCATTGGACATACTCTAGAGTACTTTTTGTAAATGGCCATGAATAAAATAAGCTACTGAAACGTAAGATCAAATCCTGCAGTTGATTTTTCCATCTCTGATATTGTCTCTGGGAGTTCTGTCCCCACAGCAGGGATGGAGACATTAGACTCATGAGGAACAGACATGTAGCTTGTTCTACAAGCTATGTTCCACAGATGTCTGTGTTCACTATGAAGGCTTTTTCTTGACATTGGAAGCTTACCCTTCAGGCTTGTAAGCTCAGCCCTCCCCAGCAGACCATTCGGTGTGGTAGGATTTTTTGTTTGTTTGTTTTTCCACATGATGAGACCATTTAATTTGGTGCTGAAGTTGATGGTTTTTTTCATCCCAACGAAAAATAATGGGAATCCCATTCGACTGTTACTTGTGCTACTCCAAATCTCCCATTTCAGTGTTTTAAAGCCTCAAATAGAAGCTAACTTTTGATGAAAGTCAGAGATATTTATGCTAATAGCTATTAACTGTTACTTGTAACAAGTAATTAAGTAGTAACTGCAGTAGTTTGTGTTACTTCCTTTAGTACATTGGTCCTCTATAACTTTTACATATCTTCAATATAATTAAGGTATAATACAGTACTGTTAACTAAAACCAAAAGGAAAGGAGGAATATAGATGAAAGTTTGCACAGGCTGTGCTGTACCAAAAATATACCTGCTTACTGCAGCACATTAATATAGTTTAATGAAACTCTGTCCTTGGTTTTTCAATTTCATGGAGAAATAATTGTCAATAAACATTTCCAAAGCCCTAAAGGAAAGGAATTTTTAGGCTAGATGGAAAAAAAATATATTTGAAGTATTTCATAGTCAGTGTTACATCATGATTTTAGGTAATTAAATTAAGGAAGCGAGTTTCAGATTGCAGTCTGATATGGGGAGACATCTCTGCCTTGTGTGGCATTTGTTCAGGAAGGGATGTGTCTTTCATCATTTTTGTTCCCAGGTGTTCAGCTGCAGGACAGTCCTTGAGCTGTTCCCCTCAAGGAATTAAGGAGGTCTTCAACACTGCATAGTATGCAGCTAAATGAATGAAGGTCTTCCCTACCCTCTGCCTTATTTTCTTTGTGTAGCTGGTCCCTAGTGTCATTGGGGTAAGGAGTGATAATGTATCCCAGCACTTCTGGTCTATTTACCAACAAAAATGCATGCAATCTTTAAAGTAATGTCGTAATGCTATATGGAAAAGAGCCTGCTCTGTGACTCTCAAAGTAATTCTCCATTAGCTCTTAACAAAATTCCTGCCCTTCTTACAAGGAATTCACCCCTTGGCTTGGTAGGCATTTACTTGTAATTTCTAGGAAACCCAAGTCCTTCCTTCCACATAATTTCCCCATTTCTTTTTAGGAGTGTTTCCTGTCTGCTTTCTAGTAATTGTCCCGGTGCTTCACAGTAATTTTCTCCTATGAGTTTCAGCAAATGTCAGTGTCTTTTCTAGAAATTCCTACTTCTATTTCCAGGAATATCCGTGTGCTATCCAATAATTCTTCTTTTCCCCTTCCCAGGAACATTCCTCCTGGGTTTTTAGGTTCTTCCTTGTATTTTCTGAAAAATCTCCCATCTGGACATTAATTTTCCAGGGACTTTGCAGGCTTTTAGCTCTGCCCTTTGTATTTGGTATTTAATTTTATGCATTTTAGAAAAATCTCCTTGTGCTTTCTAGAAGTTTCCTCTGCCTTCTAGGAGTTTTCTTTGCACTTTCCAGATATTTTCTCTTTTAGGAATGCCTGCTCTGCTTTCTAAAATGCTTTCTGTTTGTTTTGTAGGAGTTTTCCACACATCTGGGAGAACTACCCCTCTACATTTAGGCTGGATGTGGCTCTGGGCAGCCTGGTCTGGTGGTTGGTGACCCTGCCCACAGCAAGGGGGTTGAAACTACATGATCATTATGGTCCTTTTCAATCCAGGCCTTTCTATGATTCCAGGGTTTTATCATACGATTCCCTGAAATTAACTTTTTGCATTGGGAAATAAATTCATTTACACTGATGGCAAACGCATATTCCTTATGAATAGTTATGTTCTAATTTATTAGCAAGTAGGACCAATTTTTTTGTGTTTGGATATGAAGATCTTTTATACTAAGCATTAAATTTTTTTGCAAGAGGCAAGGTTTGCTTCTGGCCTTTTTAAGGAGTGGTGCACTGACAGATGTTGGGAAACTTACAAAGTGTGAAAATGCTTTTAGTGCTTTGTTGTTGTAAGCTGTGTGTAGGCAGACACTGTCATCTTGCTTCTGCATGCACACTTTGCCAGCTGCATTGAAGCCCTGGCCCTGCCAGCATGTTCTTGGTACCACTCTTTTACATGTAAAGTTGCAGGAAGAGACCACAGTATTAATTTGAAGCTCTTGAAGTGCTCATCTTCCCATACAAAATATTTCTCATGTATTAATGTTTTACAGTATGAAGTGTACTATAAGTGGCATTATCTCAATTTAGCTTATGAGGAAAATTATAGCAGGAGGGTGGTGTAACTTCTCAGATCCCAAAGGCGGTATTATGCCTGAGAGAATAATTAATTTCTGATTCAGTTTAGAAGCAGGTATTGCAAAACTAGAAATGAGCAAATCAGTAAGGCTTAAAACCTAGCCTTCTGCTAGTTATTTATTTTTATTCAAGTTTGAGTATTGCAGATGTTAAAAATCATAGCATTGTAATAAAAGCAGTTTCAGGATGTTAGATTAAGGGCCAAGTAACTCCTGCCTTTCAGCACCAGAAAATTGGGAATTCCTGGTGTGTGACCATTCTTTATTCCTGACAATGTGCCCATTAGTGTCTCTGCCTTGACCAGTAACAACTACATATATCAATGTGAGCTCACATTCCTTTTGTATCCCTTACCATTTGAACTTTGCTCAAAAGCGCTTAAAAATACTTCAGGACTGGAAAGGAAAAATAACTTCACGTTGCTTTTTGATCACACAGTTAATTCACAGTGGAAAAAGAAAGCAAGTGTGATAGGGAAATGCTTCGAGGTGCCTGAAGCCGTTGTGTTAAGCTGCAAATTCTGTGTAACGTTTCTTCCTTTGCTGTTTCCCTCTTTGTATCATATGTATATGTTACTGTCCCTGTTTATTAAAAAGAAGGGGAGGATTTGTCTGCTCGATCTGTACAGCTTCTAATTGTATAAAATGCACATTTGTCATACTTATGTAGCTAAATATTTAGGGCAGAGAATTTTCTGGAAAAATGACGTCCTTTTTTCTTGATAAAGTTATATACACTTACATCCTTCCATTTATTTATTGGTCAACAGAAGCAAAACAAACAAATCACTATTTTAACTATTTTGTGTAGAAAATCTTCAAAAGAACAAAAATATTTTTTACGTGCCATTAAGCTTATCTCTTACTTATATTACTTATCAGATCTTTTTTTTCCACTGAATTTCAGAGAATTAAAGATTGTAAAAGCTGTATCAAATGACATGTAAAAATATATTAGGTGTTTAGAAAAAGAGTGCTAATATCGTCAGGCTGGCATAGAAGGACTCACTTCCTAGGTGGACATCTTTTACTTCATGGCATTCCTAGAATTAAAAGCAGTGAACAGTTCTCTAATTAATCCCAGATTTTTTCGGTCCTCCATTATGGAGGAATTGAGCTGTGGCCTTCTTGCCTGAAAATGTTTTGATAAGTTTGCCTTCTTGAGTGCTTTTTAGCTTCCATTGAGGACTTATGCAGTAAAGTAGACTCTACTTTAAAGTAGATTTTGAGGAATCATATGGAAATTTGAAGCTCTCCAGTAGAATTACAAGAGTACTCAGAAACACTTGCTCTTGTTATCAGCATAGTGGCAGCATTGCTGAAGTGTATCTTCACATGGTGCTAGTTAGAAGAAAAATTACTCTTTTATTTTAAACAGATTCAACGGCTTCTCAGGTTTAATGAAGTATTTTGATATCCACTAAAAATATATTGTATACCATTTGTTTTGAAGGAAAAAAAGATCTAATACAGTTCTGTGCTGTAGATAGACAAGTTGAAGTATAATTTTTGACTGTGAATTTGTTTTTGCAGGACTGACATCCAAACTGGTATGCCATGTCATCCATATCCTTGTCAGTGTGGTTAGAACACAAAGCATTGGTGTTCTTCCGGCCCACTCCTCTCTTGGGTTTATTCCAGTTCTTCAAGTAGTGGACATGTTCTTCCTGGTCTCCATGCTTTTATTTAAGCCTGTATAAGCCTGAACAGATGGCTGAAAACAGTGAGGGGAAGACTACAAAATGTACCTTGCGCTTGGACACAATTAAACCCATCAGTTTTGCATTCTTTTTTTGCCCCTGTTGCAACAAAGATCCCATGTGTTGTGGAGGTGTGTTAGCAGAGGCATCCAGCCAAGTCACCAGAGATGCCACAGACCTGTGGACAACTTCAGCGGGATTCAGCATGCACAGGGGCGATAAGTCTGGGACTGGACCTTTTTCAGTCTGTATTTGTGAGGTTTGTATTCAGCAGTAGGTATTTCTTCATATTCTACAGTTATTAGCAGTTGTTTCACTGAAGTAAAGCAAGGACTGTATTTCCCCAGTGAATCCTTTAAGTGTTGTATAACAGTAAAATCTCTTGTACAGAGAATGTTCATACTCTTGCATGCAGTGACAACTTGCCATCACTTTCAATGGTTATAGAAAGTTCTGGTTTCCAATAAATCCTGGAGGTGTGAAAAAATCAGAAGCTTTTCACCATTTTTGAGATTTTTGGGCACTGGAAGATATGTCAAACCAATTACCTTAAAATATCGAACATTCAAAAACTTTGCTTTTAGGGAGATGGAGCACTGCTGTTTTATCTTAAAGGGATACTGCAAATGGGGTGAGTTATAAAACTGGAAAGCTAAGAGTGAGGACTCATGGACTGACATAAGGACCATTCAACAGGTAAAACTAAATACATAAATAGTCCTTGTTTTGAAGTTGTAGTATTACTGTACATTTTTAAAAGTGCATGCTTGAGAGCTGTAGTACTCTAAATATCGGCAATATTTGGAGCAGGTCAATTGTCTTTTGCTTTGAGTTCATAAAATACTAACTGCATCAGGCTTCTGAGTCATCACTGCAGATGGAGAAATGCCACTTTATATATTTTCATTATATTAAAATAAACTCTAAACTGAGAAATAACAAAGCCATTACTTCGCCTTTTTATGAACATTAGCAGATGTATCTTGTAATAGAGCTGTGTGAGCATGGAGAAATCTTAGTACTAACAGGCATTTTAAAGAAATTCAGACAAAGTGCCTCACTTAGAACGTTACTTCAGCAACAGCACACCAATGGTAATTAAATTCCTCTGTCTCACCTGTATGTTCACTGATCTCCATGTGTTCATATATCTGACAATAGTTACTCATTGCTGTTCTTATCTATTTATTTCATACTATAAAGATAGTCTGGTAAAGAAAAAGTAGCATGCTCTACATTTATGCTATTTTAGAGCTGTACTTTTCTTACAACTCCATTAACTGCTTCCATATTCTTCGGTTTCTATTTCTTCACCAGCTGTGGATAATGATGTGTATTATTATTTCTTGACTTGTGATGGCTTTGCAGGGTAGCATTAATTTCGATTACTAGTTAAAAACACAATCTGTTACAGAAGTGGAGTTCTCATAGTTATTGCATTTAGGAGTCAGCTCGGCAGAGAAGGACCTCGGGGTCCTGATGGACGAGAGACTGAACATGAGCCAGCAGTGCGCTCTGGCAGCTTGGAAGGCAAATGGGATCCTGGGCTCCATCAGGAGAGGGGTGGTCAGCAGGGACAGGGAGGTGATTGTCCCTCTCTACTCGGCTCTTGTGAGGCCCCACCTGGAGTACTGTGTCCAGGTGTGGAGCCCTCAGTACAAGAAAGACATAGAGATCTTGGAAAGGGTCCAGAGGAGGGCGACTAAGATGATCAGGGGGCTGGAGCACCTCCCCTATGAGGACAGGGTGAGGGAGTTGGGCTTGTTCAGCCTGGAGAAGAGAAGGCTGCGGGGTGACCTCATTGCAGCCTATCAATACCTGAAGGGAACCTACACCCAGGAGGGGAGTAAACTCTTCAGAAGGGCTGACAACAGCAGGACTAGGGGAAATGGATCCAAGTTGAAGGAGGAAAGATTTAGGTTGGATGTTAGGGGGAAGTTCTTCACGAGGAGAGTAGTTAGGCCCTGGAACGAGCTGCCCAGGGAGGTTGTGGATGCCCCGTCCTTGGACGTGTTCAAGGCCAGGTTGGACGGGGTCCTGGGCAACCTGATCTGAATGTGTACGTTTGGTGGCCCTGCTAGGCAGGGGGGTTGGAACTACATGATCCTTGAGGTCCCTTCCAACCCGGGTGATTCTGTGATTCTGTGATTCTGTGATCATCTGCCCTTCCAACCACCACGTGGAAGTGTTACAGTTCTGTATAGCACACTGCAGAGTTAAACCATCCAGCTAAAATTTTAGAATTGGCAGGTAGGATGGATAGGCTCAAAAACACTTGTGGATTTCTTGATATAGAAATTATACATCTCCAGCACAGCATTCTACTTGTAAGAATCCTTATGTTGCCTTTTATTTTTCCCCCGTAGACATATTTAACATTCTCTAACAAGGATCTGTTGGGAGCTTTGTTTATTCTCTGTAGTCATTTGAAAAGGAAGAAACGCTATTTTTGAATATGAGCATGAACTGAAGTTATGAAAATATGTGTAAATTTGATAATTATACAACCAATTTTTCTGTTATGTGGTGTTAGGTAATTGACTGATTTAAGAACTGGGACAATATGAACTTTTCTTTCTCTCTCTCTCTCTCTCTCTTTTTTTTTTTTTTTTTTTTTTTTTTTTTAGCATATCCTTTTTACAGGATGTTGGTTAGGCTTTCCAGATTAAAATCATAGAATCACCAAGGTTGAAAAAAGCTCCAAATCCAGTCCCAACATCCACTTGCCACCAATATTTCTCCACTACAGCACGTTCCTCAGTACAATATCTAAACCTCTGAATTATCTTTTCTTAGTTCTGGGATTTTGATGTTGTTCTGCTTCTGGCATGACAATTATTTGACAGATACTGACTTGTATTTTTTTCTCCTCACTGTTAGCTTATAGAGGCAACTGTAATATGGCTCCATTCCATTTCACTTTCATCTCAAATGCACAGTGCTTAAAGAGATGAGGATGCAGAATGCAATAATCTTACTCCTCTATAAGGTGAACTCCGGAAAGTTTGTCTCATAGACATTGATAACATGAAAAGGAGCAAATCCACCAAGAGCATCATGTAACTCTAAGTCACGTGGTTTTCCTTGTTGACGTGACAGTCTAGGTTTTCATTTAGGTTCTTAAAAAGCTGCAATCTGATTTTACAGCAGCTTGGCTTTATATCTACCTTCCACCTGTCCTTTCTTGACCACAGCAATATAGTGTTCTCCGCCATAAGCCTGCTGTTGTTTGATTGGGCTTTCTGATCCACTTTATTGACAGAATGTGAAGTGATCAGCCAGGACTTACCTTGTTTCTTTGTAGGATGCTTGGTTTAAACTTGAATGTCAAGGAGAAAACTGTTACATTAAAATAAACAACACCTTTCAAGGTCCATTCCAACCTGGGTTGTTCTGTGATATATCACTGGTAAGTAAGCAGAACAGTCGCATAGATCCATTATTTTCTCGTGAGCATTACCACATCCTCTATGCAGGTAATCCTTACTGTGTATTTTCATTCTATATGTAGTTATTTTCCAGGTGAGTTTTTTCACCTATTTAAGCATTAAGTGCCTTGCGTTTCATGACATGAAGCTTTTTATCCCTTTCCTATTTCTATTGTATGCTATAATATATTTCACTTCACTATCTGATATTTCACTCGATTCTGAATTCTCTGAAGTTCTTTTCCTCAATGGTATCTACCAGCAATGCGTTTCACCGCTTGCTTGTAATGGGCTAAGTGAAAGAGAAATCCTCTTTGGAGGAACATAATTAGTCCTTTTGACATTTTGATTGATGACATACTAGCAACATTAAATACGTCTTTAAGCGAGGGGGTTGCTTGGGATGAAATTATTTTCCAGTTGCTAATCACAACAGAAACATAGAGCTCTCAACACTGGAAGGGACTTTGACTCTTTGATTTATTTCTCTGTCCAAAGAAAGCAACAGCTATACTTAAGACATTTCTGATGAATATTTGTGTAAAGTGTACTTTGAGACCTCCAGTAATGGATACTCCCTAATCTTCCCAGGCAGTCAATTCTGATGCTTCATTATCCTCCAAGAAATTTTTCCTCCTGTCTGCCCTGAACCTTCAATTTGACAGTCAGCTTAAACTTACACCTACAGGCCATGATCTAATCACTTTTTTCATTATAAGTTTTCAGTTAACTCACCTCTAGCCACGTAATTGCCAGAGCTGACCTAGAGGAGGTGGTGGGAACCTATGTGTGAGGCTGCGGGAAGGGTGGAACTGCACTTTGTATTTTCAGGCTATTATTTCTCAGTCTATCTATCGTTGATATGAAGAACAGGTAGCTACGTTCTTTCTCTCAGCAATCTGATACCACACTTCTCCCTTCCTCTCCTGCTCTTTAAACTGAGTGACTTGAATTTTCTCAGTCCTGTCTTGCATTTCTGATCTTCGAGATTTAGCATGCTCCGTTCGGTATCTCTTATATTAAAAAAAGCATATCCAAAACAGAACGTAGTATCTGGTTGAAGCCCAGGTTCTGGGCTGAGTGGAAGGATGGTTTTGTGAATGATATAGACCTTTCCTATAAAATGCCTGTAAAACACAGGTGATAACTGTCTTTTTTCCATTTATTTAAGGACCCTGCAGTCCACATGAAAGAACAAGGGGTAGGTGCTGGGAATTGGGCTGGCAGCCTGTTTTTCACCCAGTGTGTTCAAATAAGCTTCTAACTCAGAAAAGATGGAGAAGTGTTGGCCTTGACCTCCTCAGTAAGGACAGATGTACACAAAGAGAATTCCTACCAGAGTGGCTGCATTACACTTATCCTGCTTCACAGGTTACACTAAAACAGTTAACTCCTTTCAGCTTGTGATTCACAACAGTCCTTGAACTGAGGTCTAACCAACTCTTCTCCATGTGTTTGCATTCTGAGCCTGTCCTTCAATATGCCTACAGTCATTTGTGGCTTGATGTTTTCAGATTTAATAAACTTGTTCTCTCTGGGATCTTCCAGGTCATCAATTATAATGGGACCACATTTAGGACAGACACCTACAAAGTATCCCTTGATGCAGCCTTCTGCTTTGATAATGAACAATTAATAGCTGCTTTCTGAGGAACATTTTTGCTAGCATGTGTGCATTGTTGCTGTGGTATTTTCTTGTAGACAATATTATGAAAAAAATCATGTGAAACACTCTCCAAAGCCTTACAAAAACAGATTTGTGATCCTGTGAGTTCCTTCTCCAACCCTGATGCCTGCCAACCTGTGCTACAAGGACATTTGCTGCTGACAAGCACATAATAGCTGTTACTCCTTTCTTTTAGATGCTTATTATTCCCAATATATTCCTGGGAATTAATGCTGATAGTATGCATGTGTAATTTGATGATGCCAGCTTTTTCACTCTGTTGTGAGTAGATACCATGGTTACCTTTTTCAGTTTTCAAGTGCTTTACCTGCCTTCTGTAAAGTTCTTGATCCGCTAATGGCTCTAAAAAGTCTTGTCCATGCTTATAGTACTCTAGAATGAATGTTCCTGGTTATAGCAGGTTTTAAAATTTCCAACCCAACTACTTACTAACCTTTTGCTTCTCTGTAAAAAGCTGAGGTCTTGCTCCTTTGTCATGGTTATTGATAGCGCTATCCCCTGCTCGCAGTTAACATTTTGGTCAAGATTGATGTAAGAAGACATTACATACACTCAGCTTCTGAGCATCATCTATCAGGAGTGTTCTTTGCTGAGTGCAATACCAGCCCCTTTATTCATTGTCTTCCTATTACTCATGCTTGTAGAGTTTATTCCATTTTCAGTTACATCCTTTACTAGTTGCTCCTCATTTCTTTCCCTTCTGACTTTGCCCTGCTATCCATTTGTTTCCCTGTTTGTTCTTACTTGCACTTCCTGGATTGGGTTCTGTAATGAGGATATAAACTTATATCATAGAATCATAAGGGTTGGAAAGAACCTCTGGAGATGGTCAAGTCCGATACAAGAGTAAGCTTTGCTGTGATATTAATAACGTGTCCTGTTACTTGTTTAGGTTGTTCTAAAAAGAGTCAATTAAGAACAAGATATCTGGTTTGTGGCTTTTGGCCACTTTGGCAGTACCTCACTTAAGATCTTTTTTTAACGAGCCATGGTATTATCAAATCATTCCATTAACCATTTCTAAATATTTGACACAATAAACACATATCTAAAGCTCAGTACCTACCTAAATCAGTAAAAACTGAAATGTTAATCAACTGATATTTTTGGTTTGGTGCAACAGCACTGAATAAAATTGTCTTTGCCAATCTGCTCTTCCGTTGCATTAAATTTTTAAATTTTCTCTTCCTTCCTAGGGCTAAATACGTCATCTCCATTGATTCTGGAAGTGAAGATGGTAGTTTTTTGCTTTCAACTTATGACCACATTTGCCATGATGTAATAGAGAAAGTATGGCCCAAACCATATCTATTTGACACCATTGAAACAATGTAAGATGATAAATGAATTAAATATAATTATTGAATTTTTAATCTAGGATATAAATAAATCTATTTTTATGGTTTAATTTTTAGAGTATTTCAGCATTGATTTTGTTCTTTATGTGACATATTCGTGCAAACAGAGATTCCTGTGTCTTGCAAAATCCCTGTGCCCTTTTGTACTTCTATTTCAGGGAGAAGAAAGAAGTTTGTGGGTTGTCTTGTATGCTACTTCAATATCTTCTTATGGGGAAAAACAATGCGAAGTTGATTCATACAGCTAAAGTCACAATGTCACCGCCCCCCTTAAGAGCTAAAAGATAAAAGTGAGGACACATGAGCATGAATTGTTAAGGTCTGTACATTATTCATTTAAACATCTGCTGTTGGTTCCTCTTTACATATGGGAATAAATTATACCACATCAGCACATTCTCCATGCTTTTTGTTTAAGCATTTAATTTTTTTTTTTTTGTATTATTAATATTATTTTTTCTGCTTGGGTGGCAGCCCCCAAAGTTATCATTGCCCACAACTACAGTCAACAGCATGATGTTTGGAGCATAGGTGTCTTCACATACATGCTGTAAGAGTACTTGTTAGAGTAATTCAAAATGTACAGAGCCATTTATGATACAATACTTACAATTTTGCTTTGAAATTAAAAGGTAAATCTTTGTGCCAAACCTTAGCAAAAGATCAAACGTTCATAATCCCTTGTATGCAAGCAAATTGCTATGTGAAAGAAAGTAAAACCAATAGTTTAGTGTTACAGATTGAGCATCAGCATCTTATTTATGAGCTGCTCTATAATCCTGAAATAACACCATATTGCAGAATATTAGAGCATGGTGCTGTGAAGACAAACTGAGGGCCTAGGCCTGTCTTTTTCATATGTTGGCAGGAGCTATGTATGAGAAATAAGTTATTGATTTACAGATTATTGGTCAAATCTTCAAGTGGATTGCACAAACCATGCAATCAGGGTAAGGGCTTTTCTCCATGTCCGCCTGAGGTAACTCTGTAATGGGATGTTCAAGGGCTCCTTGTGTGGGTTATCTGTGTCCTCTGAATGTTTATCAGTCTGGTGTTAAGAGAGGAAGAAATGAATCTTTACATATGTAAAGCACATGCATATGTTAAGTATTGAAGTCTTTCATATACTCTTTGCTGAGTTTTCTTTGACTTTTCCCCACTCTTGGCAGTGGTTGCTTAGTTTCTTTTCGACGCAATTAGCTCAATTTTCTTCTTATGTCGGCGTGATGAAGTGCTCACAGCTTTATTGCCTTTGTTTTTTATTTCTCAAATCTGCGGGCACTTTTTATGCTGATAGAGAATGAGTTTTATTGTTGTACTTCTCAGTATTAATGTTTACATCACAGCATAACATAATCTATTATAAATTGGGCAGTAGAAATTGGATGTTTTGGGTGGCTAATAAGAGCCCCTAGCAATGCCTGCAATCAGCACAACTCACGTCTGGGAACTTGTAACATTCAGAGCAGGGGGCTGTGCTGATTGTGGATTGAGCTCAGAACTTTGGCCCTTCTTCCTTAATTAGCAATATAAATATTATTTAAAATTAGCATTTTGTAATCACGGCCGTGTCAGAACAGAGTAACATTAATTCACCCCTTGTTGTGTTGTCTAAACAAGAATGAAAATACCGTGTATGAATTAATGGAATAGTTCACACTCCTTTTTATGGCTTAATTTGGAAATTGTAATACAAAAGCCATAAGATCGTCTTCTGATTTTAATTCTGTTTTCAAATGACTTTTCTGCATGGTGCTTGTGCTGCTGGTGCTCCTCTAACCGGCTGAAAGATGCTGTTGCAGCCATTATTGCCACCGTCACAACTTTGACCCTTCTGGGCTGCAGCTAATGCCTCCCTGGCAATTTGCTAGCTGCTGCCAGAGCTCCCTTTGCAGTGCAGATGGCATGCTCCATCCTACCACCAAGGGTATTATTACCACGACAGCCTCAGTCTCTACCTATATGGGGAGCTTAAGCCCTGAGGTGACTCATGAACTCTGCTTTCATGAATGTTAATGCGCAGGGTTGCCTCTGCATAATGGGGCAATGCCAGCATGATGGATTTTTATATGTAATTTAAATTGAGGTGTACTTTATACTTTCCATTTCATTTCTGTTTTAACATATACTAATAGAAACATATACAACAGTAACCAACAAAAAGAAAATCCATTAAAGTACAAAAGTGTATTAGCACATTGATGGAGTGGATGAGCGAGAGCCCCACTGCCTGTCATACTTGGGGACTGTGGACCACATGCTGCTCTCTAATGGGAAAGGGGCAGGGGCTGCTTTCCCTGTGCAGAATGTGCTATTGGATTTGTCATGTATTCTTCTGAGTGTGCTCAGAGACTCCGGCCCCTGCAATGGTTCTTTGTGCACTAAAGAATCTGGAATGCTTAATAAATTACTTCCTATGCTGCAGCAGTAAGAAACCTATTGCGAAAGTGCAGGACTTTTTGCTTCTTTCTAAAGGCATGGAAAACTTCTTTGCTGTTTTTCAAGATTCCATGTGATGTGTTTCTCCTTCTTAACTTGATTTCTTTAATCAAAGATCTCTGTCACTGCTTTAGTTTGGGGAGAATTTATCCTGTCTGTGAGTAACAGAATGATGGGCATTGTCACCAGCCAATACTTATGGTACTGTGTCCCAAAATGAAAATGTTTCTCCAGTATTCTGTTCCTTAAATTGAGTTCCAAGTGGTTTTAAGTCCCAAGGGAGAAGACTGGAAAGGAGAATGGGAAGATAAAAGTAGACAGCAATTATTAGAAGGTATTGCAATATTAGAAGTATTGAGGAAAATGCTATGATATTGATGTTATGATTTAACTTAAAATTTAAAATTAAACCTTGTAACAGTAACTCAGGGATATTTTTCTTTGATATAAAGTGACAGGTGTCCTTCAGCACTATGTGACAGCTACATTTTCAGCTGCTACTTCTGTGTTTTGAGAGTAGAACTAAAAACCTAATTTGATGCAAATAATGTGGCCAACTTAGCTTTTGTTTTGTTTTAAATGGCAGCAAATGGATGTATTGATTTCTTGAAAGTATTTGCAGTGTAATTTTTGCATATTGGTTGTGCATGAATGTGATATAAAATTTTTCAGAAATTTAATCTATCAGTTTTAATTGAAAATACAGGCCACATGATACAGTTCTCCATTTGTGGTGTGATTAGCAGAGCATAAATCAATATTTTCTTTCATAGAACCGTAGAAACATAAGGTCTGAAAAGACCTCCAACACCATCCACTCCAACTGTCCACCTACCACCAATGTTTCCCACTAAACCAAGTCCCTCAGTACAACATCCAAACGTTTCTTGAATTTCTTTTTAAAGTATATTTGCTAATAAACATTCATAGTTGGTATTTCTGGTCAATGTTTCAGTTGGTAAACAGTAACAGGAACCAAATAATGAAGTAACTTTTGAACACTATTTGTACTACTAAAAGACTTTTACATATCTGTGTGCTTTTGTCTGCATCACACTTGCTTTGATTTACTTCTGCTTAGTCCTGAAAAGCCTCTCCCTGCCTTCTCCCTCTCTAACCAGCTCTGATATTAGATGTGAACTGAGCACATTTCTTAGGTTGTAAGATTTTGGAACTGAGCGTATCACTTTCTGAACAGCAGTAAATTTGACTTTAGGGATGCTAGCAACAAACTGCACGGCCAAAATGAATTATTATATAAAATAAGAATAAAGCAGAATAAAGGAATAAAGTAAGGATATAAGAGTAGAGAATTTATTTACCGATTCATATACTGAGTCAGTGACCTTTGTTCATTCCAAAATCCGATTTATTCTGAGAGAAGACTTGTAGCTGTTTTTTTCCAGTACTTGTGGTGGTTATAAACTCAGTTGATACTCACCAGTCTAAAAGCAGGGGGATGCGAATTAACAATAGTTCTTATTACTGAAATGCAGTGGTTGCTGGAGCAGAATTACTGAATTGTTGATGGGGGGGGGGAAATATTTCTACAGAACAGCAAATGCGATGGTAAATATACAGGACATGAAACTAACAAATTTCTGTTGTGGAAATACTGCATAAGGTGGCAACAGGTTAGCTTTCAGTTAGCCATGTGGTTTGAGGTCATAGAGTAGCAGCATAGTGTATTTTCAGTTTAATTTTCTTCTAGCTTGTATGTTTGGTTGCTGTGTATTGTTAAATGTTTGGCTGCCACTTGAAAAATTGCTATAATATCAATTATCTTTTCCTTATGCGGAAACCTGGTGAACAAGAGCAAATCACCTTTTAACCTCATAACCTTTTCCCTTTAAATCTCTTTGAAAGAGGTATTTTTTCAGAAGGTGAATTACTTTTCTTGAGGTCTTCTAAAGTTTTTCCAGGCCTGTGAACTTTTTTTTATTTTACAGTGATCACATAATAGGTAGTTTTTGCCTCACGAGGAAAAAATAGTAGGTATTCATTCACTCACCCTAATTTTCTTATAGGCTGTGAGATGGACCACCTTTTGTAGCAAGCTTAGAAGAGAAGCTTTCTGACCTAATAAGACAAGGTGAAGTGCTTTGAAAATCTTATCTGGGAAACATTCAAACTGGCAAGTATACAACCGCCTGGTCTAGTATTAAATAGGGAGTTGGTGGCCCTGCTGGTAGGATTGGGGTTGGAGATCCATGATCCTTGAGGTCTCTTCCAATCTGTATCATTTTGTGATTCTGTGATGCTCACAAAAAAACAAACACGGACAGAATTGCCATGAATTCCACAAATCAGTAGTTTTGATCTTTCTTTTTCTTTTTTTTTTTTTTTTTTTTTTTTTTTTGCTTTTAAGCAGTATGCATTTTCTGAAAAGTAAAACTGATGTTAAAAATAAATTGACGTAAGTGATATTATGAAGTAGCACTGCAAGTAAAATATTCTCTTCTGAATTAAAGCACTCAGATGAAAACATGTTGAGTTAATGCATCTCATTTCAGCTAACAATGAGATGGCTTTTT